AGCGAAGTTATTTTTAGCTTTAACTTTCACTTTTTAGCGACCAAAATCAGTTCCGATATGATTATGTTTAATCCGAAGATGTCCTTGCTGGAGTCGATCAGAACGTGTCCTAGATCGCCATTTGCTTTCGGTGTTTACACATCTGGAATTTCATTCTATATGATGCGCCAGGTGATTTTCTTGTTCAGTCTTCTTTATTTGCCCTGAACGTATTCGCAGAAGGGTCGGGGCAGTTCGGCGACGGGGGAAGGGGGCATTTCGCACTTTTGCTATTTCCCATCGACGTGCCGATCCCTCTAAAAGCTTTTTCTTGAGTTGACAGGTTTTACCATGGTGACTCGAGGAATTTGCTCGTGCTTCACTCACAGGTTTCACCATTGACTTGTAAGCAGGAACTAGTAAAGCATCACCTGTCGCCGACATTGTCGGCGACAGGTGAAAACCTGTGAAATGTCGTCGATTGTTGAATTTTCTTAGTTTTTGAAGCTGTTATTGTTTGACGATCCGAAAGTTATCACAAGAATGCTGAGTTGTGGGCAAAAGTCCGTCGGCGGGATCCGAACCCGCATCTCCCCTTTCCCGGGCGGTTGTGTTGCGGGATTCGGACCCGCATCTTCCGCTTTCCGTGCGGTTGCGTTCCCTATTACGCTACCGGGGCCACTCTTGCCCTCTCAGCTCAATGGCTATTTGTGCCATTGCCTTCGAGCACTCACACGTTCAACGTGATGAGCAGGTTAGTTGAACGTTTTGAACGAATTCGTTTTCAAAGGATTTCCCTGTTTCGTCTGCGCTATACACCCTCGCACCCCCCCCCCCCGGCTCTACGTTTCTCGGGGAAAAAGTGGGGAAAAAACGGAAGTGTAGAAAACGAGGAGAATTTAGGAAGATGGCTGGTAGAATGCGGAGAAGGATCGTAGCAGAGGGGGAAATTTCAAACCAGAGGAGGTCGTATTTTGCAAAATTTTTCCCCAAACGCTTGGGCACTGACATTGACGGATGACGGAGGGGAGGGGGGAGAGAGTGATGGACAGGCTGCGCGACTGGGCTGCATTTACCCGTCTTTTTTACTCATCTAAGGCTATATATCGGCATGGGAATGGAGCACTACATCGTTGAGGGGACCTATACAAGTTGACTTCGTGCTGCTGCATGTCCTCACCCTTAGTTGTGCTTGTAAAAGATTTTCTGATTGAGTTTGATTTTTCTCGAGGGCTACATGTCCTCATTATTTACGTCTCCTTCTCCCCCTCTCTCCCCCCCCCCTCCGCTAGACCTCGACGACTCATTTAGGGAACGTCGCGATGACTGTAGTAGGATTTGGATGGGGGTCGTGTTGAAGAAGGAAATTTGTGGAGGAGGGAGGTATTTTGGACTTGTACGTAGTCGTACAAGTCTCACAATGGTGAAACCTGAGTTTGTGAAGCTGTAGCAAATTCCTCGAGTCGCCATGGTAAAACCTGTCAACTCAAGGAAAAGCTTTTAAAGGGGTTGGCACGTCGGTGGGAAGTCCCTCCCCGTCTGCGAACCCAGGAATATGCTCTTACCGATAGAAGTGATTCCATTTCAATAGTATAGTATTAGGTTGTCCGGAAAGTTCTCAGCGTTTTGG